ACGTATATATATATATATACACATTTATGTAGAATATCGTATACATACATATATATATATGTATATGTTCATCTCTCTCTCTCTCTCTGTGTGTTTGTGCAGATATTTGTCATACTGAAATTTAAGTTCAGCCGATGTTGACACGTGAGTAAACAACCAAACTAAGTTAGTCAGTAAATACATGAGTAAATGCATGCCCGAACAAAAATCAACAAGCATATATACATATACTTACAATATATACATACATGTGCACTCGCTACAAATTGAAAAGTGTGGAGGCGTTAAGGTTAGGGGGTGTAGAGCCTTCTGGCGGACAGACGGCCTAGCTGCAAGAAGGGTTTACTCGGAGATTCACGGGTATGTAGGTGGGAGAACTATAGTTAAATAAATAGGTATGCATATATATATATATATATGAACCGTATTGAAGGACATTTTCACCCCAATTATAACTACCCATGAACCTCCAAGCAGGGTTGAAGGGATTTTGCAAAGGAGGCGGTCCACTATGCGATGCTGGAGGCTTTGGACATGCTCCGGGAACAGAAGCTACCGGCACAAGCAGGCCCCCAGTTCTTGGGATAAGGGATTGGTTGAGAATCCTTTCATGATTCAGCACCCAGGACAGCCAGCAGGTGGGTTGATGCAGAACAGACGGTTTCGGGCTTCATAAGTGGTTTCAGGGATTGTCACGATACTGCCGCGCAGAGACAAGCACCAAAAACCGGTAAGTCTGAAGGCCCGATTCACGCTGCAAACCAGCCAATCTCCGCCCTGGCAGCCTCAGACAACCGTCTGAACCCTACGCACGCTAAGCCCCTGCAAACCATCTAGCAGCCCGGCCCTAAACCCAAAACCCTAAGCCCTAAACCCTAAACCCTGAACCCTAAACCCTAAACCCTAAACCCTAAACCCCAAACCCTAAACCCTAAACCCTCCCTGTTATCATCAGTTTCCGCCTCAAGAGCTTCCGCCCAAAGAAGTTGTGGAAGAGGTAGGAAGAGGTGGTAAGTCTTGGGCTCTTGAACCGTTTGGGTTATCCTGAATGCAGAACCTTCGGGAATCTCGAACCCAGACCCCCGAAAGGATCTAGAAAGTAGATCCCTTAAAAGGGGGTTCCTATAAAGACCCTTTAGTAGTTAGGGTCCCAAATTAAGGGTTCTACTTTCTAGATCCGTCCGGGGGTCTGGGAAATTGGGCGTGGGGGATGCGGCCCTTTCATGGTGCTCACTTGCTTAAAGACTAAAAAAGGACCATGGGACTCAGCCCAAAAAGGGAACAATACTTATAACCCTACATACTAGTTACTAAAAAGACTTAAAGGACCATGAGACTGAGCTCAAAGAGGGAACAATACTTATAACCCTTAGTTACTAAGTCCCTGATCCTCCAAAGCACACCCAAAATCTAAGGTAGAACCCAGGGGCCCCTAGTATGGGCCCTTAACCCTGGGACCCTAATATACCCACTATATACCCTATATATATACCCTTAAGGGGCCCTGGAATCCTTTAAGGGCCCATGTTAGGGGCCCATGGGTTCAACCTTAGACAAAAGAGGGTTTAGGGTTTAGGGTTTAGGGTTTACTTAGGTCGGGGCTTTGAACCACGGGCATCGTCAAAGCGTTGAGGCTGTGAGACCCTTAGATCCTGTTCCGTGACGTACAGGTAGCATCCTAGACCCTCGAAAAACCCAGAACCCGCAAAAAGTAACGGCGCGATCTTTAACTATCCAACGGCCCTTAAACTCTTCAAGCTCTAGCAGAGCCCCGAAAGCTGAAACCCAAGCCCCTTTATTTAACACAACCTCGAAGAAATCCTAGACCCTCTTGAAGTGCGCAGCTCGGGTGCAGGAACCTCTCCGGCATCCCTTTCGGGGCGAGTAGCCCGAGCTGTACAACTTTGCAGCCTTCTGTGAGAAAACGATGCATCACTGGGCTTTGGAGGGTCTTGAGTCTTCCAGAGGGCTTCGTGGTTTGCGGTGGAGGGTTCAGGGTTGAGGTTCTCAAGTTCTAGACTTCTAGACTCCTTTCAAGGGCAGGAAATCCTGCCGACAAGGAGCCGAAGAAAAACTCGCCGACTTTCAGAACCCCCCCCGAAAAATCTCCAGCCCTCACGTACCCTAACTTTGAACCTCAAGAGAACCCAAAGCTCGAAAAAATGCCTTGCCGGTTTTTGGTGGTACTGCAGTGTGGCTGGCAAAAAAGAAAGCTGCAACACCTCCTTATCCGCTGTCAGAACGTGGGCACCCTTACTGTAAGCCCCTTTCCAATCCCGAACCCTGAGCCCAGCCCCAAGTACCTGAAGATTTCGGGCTCAGCACCACCACCATGGTTACCTTGGGGTGTCAGGGTGGGCCCACCCTAAACCACTCTACTCGTATTTATTCTTGAGAACGGTTGTATTGGCTGGGTAGTATACATGCATCCCACAGGGATGCGGAATGTATCTAGGACATTTGCAAACGGACAGAACTACAGGGGCATACATGAGGTCTTAGATAGAGCCGGCGCCAATGCGCGCCAACCCGCGTGCCGGGCCGTAGCAAAAATACCTGTGGTCCTGCTCATGTACAAATGCGCAGATTCTACCAGCAGCACCGCCAGCGACAATAAGAATTGCAACAATGCTAGGAACAACACTGACAGTAGCACGGAAAAAGAGGAGCAATCAAGAGAACAGTAATCCAGAGGAGGAAGATGCATAGCAACAAGTTGCGAGGCCTCTGCTGCCGTCAATGGATCGGCGAGCAAAGGCGAACGGAGTTCACCCTCCGTAAACTCTAAACCCTAAACCCTCAAGCTCGGACACTTATTGCCATGCCTGAATTTTGCGAGTGTGTGAGTCGAAACCCTCAACCCTAAACCCT